CGCTCCTCCCCACGGCAGACAAAAAACCCTGTAAACTCTGCCATGTGTGTGTTTCACTCGTGTCTTTCCTTTGCGTCGAGACAGGAAAGTGTGTCCAGCTTCAGGCTTCGCTGACGGACAGAGAGCGTGTGGAACAGTGGATATATATAATGCTGCTTCAGGCGTCAGGACGACCACGAGAGGAAACGACGCAGCTGGAAACAGCAGCTCAGGCACCAGTGATGGAAAGTTTAAACACAGCTCAAATCTACACCTTCAGTCTGAAACCATGACCACCCGCCTCAGGTGTTCAGGATGTCACCTGAATCTCTGAAAACAGTGTCGTCAAGGATGAGCCCAACTCAACAGAGACAGGACAGTGAGCTGAAAAAACAGTTGTCAGCTGCAGAGGAAGAGGAGGAAGAAGAAAGATGAAAGAGGAGAAAACAGAGAGCCAGTTTGCTTTCTGCCCATGCACCAGAGAAACACAATCAACACAGAGCAGGGATTGTGTGTCTGCATTAACGGACGCCATGCCAGCGGATGGGGGGGGGGGGGGCACTGACCTCTGCTCCTCTCGATCTCCTCCTTGGTCATCAGGCGTCTCAAACTTGCTCTGTTTCTTTTCTCGTGGAGTGAAACTTCACTTTATCTTCAGCTGCAGCCACGTCTGAAACAGAGCAGATATAGGAAGAGAGAGGAAGAGAGTGAAGCCCGGAGTTACTGACCGCCCCCCGACCCCCACCCCCACCTTACCTCCGACCGCCTCCCCCCCATAAAGCCTTCCAGTGTAAAGGTCTGTGTCCATGTGTAGTGTGATATATGATCAGCTCTAGCTTCTTATTATATATAACTGTGAAAGTTATTCAAAGCCTCAGTCCACAGAGAAATGCACACAGCTAGTATCAGAAACTGAGCCTTAAAACCAGCCGTCAGGACTTCTTGGAACTTTGTTGATGTCACAACAGAGCTAGCACCAAGCCCGCCCACCTGGACCACAATCCAAACCTTGCAGGATTTGGTTTCTCTGAGTGTTTTTTCCTAGAAATCTGCTATAGTCAGCCAATCCAAGAGAGGCTCAGAGCCTCCTCTCTTCTGATTGGCTCTCACCGAGACCTGTTTGTTACTAGACTGGCAGAGAGAAGCTAAGAGAGGAGATGAAATGTTTCATTTAACTCTTTCCTCTGTCAGTCAGTGGGTTTACTTTGCTGCCACTCAACGTATGCTAAATGTGTTAGCATGCGTTACTTTAATGTAGCGTGCAGTGCAATTTTACCACTCACAGTAGACACACACACACTCACACACACACACACACGCACACACAGTACACACACACACTGTTGGTGGCAACCTGCTGCGTCTCAGGTTGGACATAAAGTGATTGTCAGTCTGTGGTACACGAGGCTGTTTGTTCGAGAAAGCGAAGTGCTGTTCAAGATAAGCTATTCCTCTTAAAGCAGATGGCGGCTCCACCTTCCACACACACACCAACTGTCCACCGATACAACACAACACCACACACACACACACCACACACACACACACACACTACACACATCACCACATCACCCCACACACACTTCTTCACTACATACAGAAACAGCCTGTAAACAGCTTGTAAAAGACTGTCTGTCATCATAGTGGCTTGCTTGTTTCCGCTGTGGTTAATGCTTCCCTGCTCGTTCTGACTCTAGTGTCTGTCTGTTACAATGTAAGTGATTATTAAGTCAGTGTGATTATAATAGTCTTAATTGTTATTCCCTGTGCTGCTCTTACTCTCTTGCTGAACTACTCTCGGCAGCTACTTCTCTGCTCCCTCTTGTTGCAGGAGTGCTCTTATCAGCTTGAGCGCAGCCGCTGACAGGAGGCTGCTTTGCTAACTTACGAACATATAGATTGTTTTGCATGCTATAACACACTATGTTCACTATAATTTTATTATTATTACTTTATTATTTTGTTGACTTATGTCATTCCACTCAGTTAACGAATCCACCGTGATTACACACAACATAGTGTTCAGTCAATCCTCAGGAATCAGTGTGTTCTGTTACTTTCACCGTCCAATCAGCTGATGCTTTCCTCCATATTTGGTCTCATTTTTACAGAAACCAATAAAAAGACAAACCAACAACAAGCGTTCTTTAAAAACGTTCTGACATCCATTCTGAACTCAAGGTCTACTTCTAGCTTTTCTGGAGCTTTCAGCTGCATCCTCACACTCTTGACAGGTGATAATTGGCTGAAATAAAAGTGAAAACCACCAAAAACATTTTTCTGCCATGAACGATATTATTTTTTAGAAACATCTATATCGTTTATATGTGTATTAATTTCTCCACTGACGGTGTATGCCATTGAATGATGGGCCCTCCGAACCCTCTTGTTCTGCCTGACGGAGCAATGCCCGGGATCGGTACCGTCTGCGGTGTTTGTGCGCAAAGTCAGGGGATGGTTGAAGGTCGTCCTCACTCTTCTCCCACAAACAAGAGCACACTCGAGGGCGATGCTGTGACTGGTTTGGTCTGCTTATTGATTATGTGGCCATTACCTGATCAACTCAGCTGATCACTTTTTTCCTTTGATATTATGGAGAGATGGTGTGTCGACACCCCCCTCTGATTACTGTGTTGCTAATGTTTCTCGGGTTTCCACTCCATTCAGGGATGTCGTTCGCCCGTTGTTGAGCGGACGGTTCCCTGCTGTCCATCAGCGTATTCGGTTCAGGTTTATCTGGTTCAGGTTCTTGGTGACGGCCCTCTACAGCAGGTTTTCAGGGGGCCACTCTGGCGATGCTTGGTCTTCTTCTGAAGTCTTAACGTTAAAGTCTTAACGTTAAAGTCTTTACGTTGAAAAGTCTTGACGTTAAAAAGTCTTAATGTTAAAGTCTTAACGTTAAAGTCTTTATGTTGAAAAGTCTTGACGTTAAAAAGTCTTAACGTTAAAGTCTTTAAGTTAAAAAGTCTCGATGTTAAAAAGTCTTAACGTTAAAGTCTTAACGTTAAAGTCTTTACGTTGAAAAGTCTTGACGTTAAAAAGTCTTAACGTTAAAGTCTTTACGTTAAAAAGTCTCGATGTTAAAAAGTCTTTACGTTAAAAAGTCTTTACGTCAAAAAGTCTCGATGTTAAAAAGTCTTTACGTTAAAAAGTCTCAACGTTAGAAAGTCTCAACGTTAAAAAGTCTTTACGTTAAAAAGTCTTTACGTCAAAAAGTCTCAACGTTAAAAATTCTTTACGTTAAAAAGTCTCAACGTTAGAAAGTCTCAACGTTAAAAAGTCTTTACGTTAAAAAGTGGACTCAGCTTCAGACGACCAAGACAGATCAGGATTCTTCGACTGAACCTCGTTAAACAAATATTTCTTTAATCAGAGCACAGAAGGCAGTTCAACCTCAACAACCACAAGATCACATAAGACACACAAGCGTTGCTCCTCAGGAGAGTCTTGGTGTAAAGTACCAGTTCTTTTATTTAGTTTTACACAAGGTTCAGTAAAGTAATCATCTTTAATCTGGATGTGGCTTCCCACAAAGTTCTTGTTTCCAGTCTTCTTTATAAACATTTTTATTTTATATTTATTTTCTATAAGATCAAGTGTCTTCACACATTTTGAGGATTGATAAATTTGCAACGAATTCACATTTATCATGCTCCAAATATGGAATGACACTCTTACACTGGATATTAATATTATTTAATTTAACAGAATATAGTTTGTAAACGGTGGTAGAGCGAACGTACGGTGATGAAGGTGTGTGTCGTTCAGACGTCCAGCTGTGACGTCTCAGGCCTCTGGTTTTATCTCAGTCACATCTGTCAGCTTCTGTCCAGCTGTGCTCCAGCTGTGCTCCAGCTGCTCTGCTGCTAACCCTGCATGCCGCCCGCTAACACCACAGCTAACGGTGAGTGCTGCCGCTCCGAGGTTCGTTAACTCAGCTGTGAACTGATGACATCATCTGTTAGTGGTTTCAGCCAGTGATACTCAACTACTAACACCCCCCCCCCCCCCCCCCCACACACACACACACACATTGAGTCAGAGACTTACAGCAGCTCAGTGACCTGCAGTTACAAGTTTAATTTCTCACTTTTTCAATGTTGTATTATATAAAGTTTCTGTCGTGACGCTCAGTGACACGAAGCTCCGACAGGTTTCCTGTCTCTCTCTCTCTGTCTCTCTCTCTCTGTCTCTCTCTGTCTCTCTCTTGTCTCTCTCTGTCTCTCTCTCTCTGTCTCTCTGTCTCTCTCTGTCTCTCTCTCTGTCTCTCTCTGTCTCTCTCTCTCTGTCTCTGTCTCTCTGTCTCTCTCTCTCTGTGTCTCTCTCTCTCTCTGTCTCTCTCTGTCTCTCTCTCTGTCTCTCTCTCTGTCTCTCTCTCTGTCTCTCTCTCTGTCTCTGTCTCTCTCTGTCTCTCTCTCTCTGTGTCTGTCTCTCTGTCTCTCTCTCTCTGTCTCTCTCTCTGTCTCTGTCTATCTCTGTGTCTCTCTCTGTCTCTCTGTGTCTCTCTCTCTCTCTCTCTCTCTCTGTCTCTCTCTGTCTCTGTCTCTCTCTCTCTCTGTCTGTCTCTCTCTCTCTCTCTCTCTCTCTCTGTCTCTCTCTCTCTCCTTAGATTATTAAGGTGAAAGTAATTAATCAATAGATGATTAATCAGCAACAGATTTGTCAACTGATTGTTAATTAGTGATTCCACAGAGTCAGTTTCTCCAGTGTGAGAATCAAGAGAATAATTGTTGCAGCAGCTTCATTAATAGTGAAGGTGACAGTCAGAGAAAGTGGAACCTGCCGGAGCTTCGTCACCTGTGTCGCTGAGCGTCGGGTCTGAAGCCCGTCTGTGCTGATGTTGATGATTTCCGTCAGTCAGCTGATGAATAGACGCCTGAAGCTTTATTTAAAGCTGCATGGTTTGTAATTCGGTCAGTTGGTTTGCTCCTTTCAAAAACTGTTGTACATTTTCTGTCTGATTCATTTGACACAAACACGAGTTTCCTTGTCTCAACTTCTTCTTCTGTGTTTTCTTTCAGCTGATCTGTGAAGACGAAGAGGAGGAGGAGGAGGAGTGAAGGACGAACCTGAAACCTTCAGCTATGCAGTTTTGTAGGGATTTAAAAACCTGCCTGTCTTTATTTTACTTCACTTCTTTCAGGCCTGCAAACGTCTTTACACCAAAGTGCCTTCAGGAGTTTTTCTTTTTTTACAGTCTGCTTCTTAGTGTCGAAGAATTTCAGGCGTCAAAGCTTGAAGTGGAGGAGGCGCTTTAAGAGAAACAGTGTGTGTGGTGATTGTGATGAACGGGTGGAGGAAGGGTCGTGTGACAGTGTTTAGCCTGTTCAGTGTGATCCGACAGGAAGTTAACGACAAGCTCTCAGCCCTCGTGTTCCCTCTGCTGTTCCTGAAGAACCACAAAGTAAAACAAACGTCCCTTCAGGTGGATTTTCTTCTGAGTTTGGTTTAAATGTTGAAATAAATGAAATAAATGTGTGAACCCGAGCACGTGTTGTTAGTGGTGTTTGTTCCAGCTGTGAGTGAGACGCTTGTGAAATGTGATATTTGTGTTTCCTCATCACAGTGTTGACTTTTCCTCCTTCGTCTAAACACTTCAAATAACGAGAGGCAACTTATACAGAGCGATATATACATCCATTCAGCCCAATGCTCGTCCGTGCAGCAGGTTATTATGACATCATAGTTAGCTTTTGTTGCTAGGCGACATCTAGTGGTCGTAGTGATGATGACAGGAGCGAAGGGGAAAAATGCGGTGACGTAGTGTAAAGAGGACGTGGTCTACGAAGGTGCAGCCGTCGTAGAACCGAAATGAGACGCTCTGGTTTACGGAGGATTTACGCTGTGCGTCACCGGCTGTTCCCGCCGTTACCGTTGCGTCGCAAAGCACAGCTCCTGTCGCCTAGCAACCTTTACTTGGTTTTGACAGCTGTACCGTTAGCTGTTGAACTGAGCTAAAACATAATACTTACATTCAACAGTGTGATCCTCAGGCTCTCTGTCTGTGGTGTTTGCTTTCATTACTGGAGCGCAATGCATCTTGGGATAGGTTGGACCAGGAAGGATCCAACAGGTGCGGCCTTTGTTGTCCAGGAAACGAAGGACACATTTGAAGTAGCCTCGAAATGGGACAGTTTAGTTGCTATGACACAGTCAGTCCTCAGATGCAGCTTCCATGTTTATTATTGTAACCATGACAACCGAGGTCCGGTACGCCAGCTGCTGTAGGGGCGTCATTTCAGGAGACGCTCCTCTGGGTCGTGTCAGAGGGTTGATGGTTGTTCAGGTTGGAGGACTGGTCCATTATTTCACATGTGAATGTACATTTCTTCAACCCTGTAGACCGGTGGCCCGCCCGAGAGCTCGCCGCACGCCAACTTCAGAAAACATCTTCATCAATCTGACCACACACGTCCCGTCACACACTGTACTCACAACACAACCAAACACACAATACTCACAACACAACCAAACACACAATACTCACAACACAACCAAACACACAATACTCACAACACAACCAAACAAACCAAACAATACTCACAACACAACCGAACACACAATACTCACAACACAACCAAACACACAATACTCACAACACAACCAAACCAAACAAACAATACTCACAACACAACCAAACACACAATACTCACAACACAACCAAACACACAATACTCACAACACAACCAAACACACAATACTCACAACACAACCAAACACACAATACTCACAACACAACCAAACACACAATACTCACAACACAACCAAACACACAATACTCACAACACAACCAAACACACAATACTCACAACACAACCAAACACACAATACTCACAACACAACCAAACACACAATACTCACAACACAACCAAACACACAATACTCACAACACAACCAAACACACAATACTCACAACACAACCAAACACACAATACTCACAACACAACCAAACACACAATACTCACAACACAACCAAACACACAATACTCACAACACAACCAAACACACAATACTCACAACACAACCAAACACACAATACTCACAACACAACCAAACACACAATACTCACAACACAACCAAACACACAATACTCACAACACAACCAAACACACAATACTCACAACACAACCAAACACACAATACTCACAACACAACCGAACACACAATACTCACAACACAACCAAACATACATTTCTTCAACCCTGTAGACCGGTGGCCCGCCCGAGAGCTCGCCGCCCGCCATCTTCAGAAAACATCTTCATCAATCTGACCACACACGTCCCGTCACACACTGTACTCACAACACAACCAAACACACAATACTCACAACACAACCAAACACACTGTAGTCCCCTGGAAACACTTCCGTTGTGTTGTGAGTACTCATGCTTTCAGATTGATGAAGACGTTTTCTGAATGTGTTTTGTCTGTTTGCAGGTGTTTTCTTCAGATGCAGTGTGGTGAACTCTCAGCGTCACTGTAATGACACAACATCTGGAATAAACTCTTGGAAATCAGTAACAAGAATCAACATTTATATAAAGGACTTTTCCTTCTGCACACAGACTTTTTATTGTCTGTGTCTGGAGGAAACGTTATCGGTCCTGATGTTGGGACCATTAACGACAAAGATACACAAATCATGTCTGTCATACGTTTGTTTTTGTAACTTGAATTTCTGTTTGGGGAAAATCACTCAGCGCTGTAGAGATGACCCGGCTTCTTCAAACCAAGGTGCATGGGTTAGGGTCAAGCACCCAATTATAGATATGACCAGGTTGTGTTTTTATTTTCATTTCAACGTTTTTACAGCGTTTATTTCTTCACCTTCCTCGAGTCCTGACTGGAGCGTCACCTGGTGCATCCCGCCATAAACCTGATGCCATCTGGGACCGAAAGCACAAGAGCTGGGTGTTGAATTAAGTCGTTAAAGTTTGTGTATTAGTATCGAGCCACACGTCAGACTGAGGACTGGACCAGGTGTAGAGCTCTGGTTGGTTCTTGTCGTTAAGGTTCTTCACACTCTTGTACTGAGCTTGTTCCCGTGTCCGTTAATAAACATGAGCGTTCTGTCTGAGAATGGAGTGACCTGGAAAACATGACGGAGAAAACTCTGATTCCTGCCCGACGTGGTCCAGGATCCTGATCCTGGATCAGTGTATGAATCCCACGACATGTCAGCAGCACGGGACATCATATGTGTATGTGTGTGTGTGTGTGTGTGTGTGTGTGTGTGTTGACTGACTTCCCAGGGTGCAACAGGAGCAGCTGGCGGCCATCTTCCTGCTGCTGAGGGAGAACCAGGAGGCGCTGGGGGAGGTGACGGAGGGAGACATGGAGGAGCAGCTGAAGCTCTACTCCCTCTAAGACACGCCCACACCGAGACACTGTCCGTCCACTCAGGGAGTCCACCTCGTTACCGTTACCGTGGCAACGCTTAACCTTCAGAAGACTTGAATGTAAAACACTAGATTTACTTTGTAACGCTGACATCTGTAACTTTGGTCAGTTAAAATAGTCAATAGATATATAAATAACAGGACAGGAAATAAAACATTAACTTATTGGTCTCTGAATATTACAACGTTTTTCATGAAATATTACAATTTCTTTCTTGAAATATTTCATCTTTTTTTCTTTCTTTTTAATTTGTAGAATTTTTTTGTCAAAATATTTCATTTTGCCCCAAATATTAGTAGTAATATTAGTATTCTTAATATATCACAACTTTTTTATGAGAACATTGACTTTCATATTTTCATGTTTAAGACTGTAACTGCTCATTCTGGGAAACGTTGACAGTTGCTGACGTTGACTGTTTTTGCTTTTGTGTGATTTTTACATAGACAATCCAAGAGTTCACTGAGTTTATTAATTGTAAGTTTTATTTCACATGAATTATTTAATGACTTTTTTCATTATATTAAATATATGAATATAAAACTTCCTGGTCGTGGATTGATTGTGATATAAGATTATAATACATGATAACTACAAGGCTATTATTAGCTGTCTTAAGCTTCAACATTATAAGGCTAGTATTAGCTGCTACTTTAGGCCAAAAAACCAAGATGGCGACGTCACGGCAGTTTGCCATTTGATACACACACACACACACACAGTACAGTAAACAGAATACCATATGTTAGTGTCTGCGGACCGAAGATCTAGTTTATTGAACAAGGTTCCCTGAGCTGATGGAATCTGGTGGCCACAGCAAATGAATTGGTGATTGTCAAGTTTGTCCTGTTTTCTTTTATGGTATATGGTGCACAAACACACAGACTGGTAAAGTCCAGGCAGGAAGACAACAGCAAGAAGCTCCTGAGTTCAGCTTCAACCCTGGTTCTTTCTTACAGTGTTGCATGTTCTCCTTGTGTTTCCTCCAGGACTCTGATTACTAGAACAAACACATGCACATTTCATTAATTGAGGACTCTAAGTTGTCCATAGGTCTGAATGTGTGTGTGTGTGTGTGTGTTTGTGTGTTGTTGTTGTGTGATAAACCATTTTCCTGCTTTCCTTCCAGTGCATGCTGGGATATAAGTGTGAATGTTTGATGTAATGAAATTACAAAGTTTGAATGTAGAAGTCACATAAACTTAAAACTAATAAGATTCACCCTGAAATTACAGAGAAGATCTTTAAATTGTTCGTATGGACATTAACCTTTATAATAACAAGCTACATTTTTAATTACAGATAATTACTGTCATTTTACACAGATTTGTACGTAATTTAAGAAAGCAGAAAAAATACTGTATAAATAATACAGTAATTTGTTTTTACAGAAATGGGAAATAAATGTAATTCATTATTATTGGCATAACTCTTAAAGGAGAAGTTTGGCTGTTAATTCGTACACTTTTGTACACAATTTAAAAAAACAGAAAATTACTGTAAAATTCTGTTATTTTCCATAAAATTAGGAATTTTTTTACAGTGCACTACTACTTTTACTACTTCTACTATTATAATGGTATTAGTAGCAAAGCAATGAGACAGCAAGTGTTCTGTCACATATTATATCTGTTATCACCCATTTATTAAATACGTGTAAATGTAAATATGTGGGCTTACAGTGAAATTTATCATTTTATCATTATCGTCTCACAGCTGTTTCCTGTTGAACGGCAGAAAGAGTTTTAATGTTGTTGTCATAGCGATCAGGCAGAGACGAGTCTGAGTGAAAACTCAAGCGTGAGAACAAATGTCACCTGACACCTCAGCGTTCTATTGGTTCATTCAGCTGAACAAGGCACCATTGTGTTTCCCATATGAGTTAAACTCTGATGCTCAGGTGTAATTTGAGAGCGAGAGGGTGGGTGAACAGCCAGGGCCGGATTTACCAGACCAGCAGCCAGCAGATGAAAATATTACAGGATTAATTGATTAGGCGATAGACAGAAAATTATTAAGTGATTAATTGTTTAAGTCGTTTTTTTAAAGCACAAAAATGCCAAATATTCTCTGGTTCCAGCCTCTCAATGTTAATATTTAGTGTTGTTTCTAGTTTTTCTGATTTTTTTTATGACAGTGAACTCAACATCTCTGCAGGTTAATAAAGTTCATTTGAGCTTCAGGGAATAATAAATGACATACGTCCAAGTGAGAGACGGGGAATCATAGCTGCGTGAAAATAAACATCCTCACATTTAAATATGAGGATGTTTTATTGATCTTATTGTGTGTGATTGTGTTGTGATGTCAGTGAGCAGACAGCAGGGGGCAGCGTCCAATCTCCAGGTGAGGATGACGTTACGTCCCTGTTTGTCCAGAGTCAGAGAAAATATGAAGCATTTGTGTGTTTTCTGAGGTCGCCGCGACCGTGACCTTTGACCCCCAAAATCTAATCAGTTCATCCTTGAGTGCTAGGGAATGTTTGTGCCAAATTTGAAGAAGTTGTGTCAAGGTGTGGAGGAATAAATATAGATTATTGGTCATGTTGCGGGTCTGCCCTTAAACCTCCTTCAAGCTGCACTACTGCAGGTTTGGGTTGAGGACTTGTTACCATGGCGACAGCCGTAGATAAATGTTAAAGCATCTTAGAAGAAGAACCCAGACTCAGTTCTTCACGTCAGACCGGAGGAAACCGTCGTTGATGACATTGGTTTGCTGTTGTTCTCTCCAGCCGTCGGCTCCGCCCTCTCCCTCCTCAACACCTCTCGGCTCTTCGCGCGCAGCTCACCTGGCAGGTGTGTTCTCTGCGCTGTGGTCGGAGGCGTCCTCCGAGGGTCCGGACAGGGGAGGAGCATCGACGGCCACGACCTCGTCTTCAGGTGAGACTGAAGACGCCTCCAGACGTTACCTGATTCCACCTTCCACCTGATTCACCTTGAACTTCCTCATCCAGCAGCAAGCCGTCTGTGATTGGCTGAAATCACGTCACTGATTGACACACTGCTCCTTGTTCTTCAGGATGAACGGAGCGGTGATCAGAGGATTTGAAGACGATGTGGGGACGAAGATTTCCTTCTGCGCCTCACCACAAACACCATGAAGAACGGCCTGAACCTGTACCGAGCCGACGGCTTCACCAGGATCCCTCAGAGCGCCATGACACACACACACACACACACACACACACACACACACACACACACACACACACACACACACACCATTTCATGAAGCTCGAAGAAGCTTTGTTATAAATTAAACTAACAGGAAGTCGTTATTCAAACATTTCATGGGTCCAGCTTCTCCAAAGTGAAGATGAACTGCTTTAATTATCATTATTATTATTATTATTATTATTATTATTATTATTATTATTATTATTTTGAGGTTTGGACAGAACAGAAACATCCTTCTTTATATTAATGAGTGATAATAATCTACAGCTGTTTTTCTGTGCTGAGTTCACACTTGTGCTTGTAACTGAGTATTTTGACAGTTTTACTACTTTCACCTGAGTGAAGACAGAGATGTTTGAGATGACAGAGTTTGTCCTCCAGAGGGCGCTGACATGTAAAATGTCCCACTTCTTTTTTCTTTTTCTTCTTCTGCTTCTTTTCCCTCTTCTTCCTCTTCTTCTTTTCTTCCTCTTCTTCTTCCTCTTCTTCTTCCTCTTCTTTTCTTCCTCTTCTTCTGCCTCTTATTTTCTTCCTCTTCTTTTCTTCCTCTTCTTCTCATCAAACCTGAACACACATATTTAAAGATTGAGTGTAACTTATATTTTCTGAGGAAATCATTATATTTATTTAAATCTGCTTTGAAATCATAGAGAAAGTTGCTCTTTATGACTTAGAACTTGCGGATCTTGATGTTTGTATTTGTCAGTCGTCTGAACGTCCATGTTTTCACAGACAGGAGCTGTTAATAATCTCCTCGGATTCTTTTAATTTGTAAAATGTGAAAGGTGAAAAATGTTGACTTCCTGTTCCTCCTGCAGGTTTCTGCTTACGGCTTCATCACCAGGAACTACGCCGCGTTCTCCGACCATTACTACGACTCCGCGAGGAGGCCTCTGAGGTTCTTGGCCAACCACGACCTCCGGATGGAGAGCCGGCTGTGGGAGGCGCTGCACCTCCGCAGGGTCATCAGGTTGTACCGGGGGGGGGGGGGCGGCTGACGGAGGAGGTGGAGAGGAGAAGTGCTCAGGACTGCAGAGTGGATGGAGCTCCGGTGCTGTTTTGTTAAAAACACAGGAACTTATTTTATTCGTCTGGAAAGATCCCGATGTTCCCAAAGGTCCCACGTTCTCCTGCCTGAATCCGTCCAGAGCGTTTTTGACCTGATGTGATGTGAAGTTGTAAAAAGCAGGATCCAAACTTTTTATGCCACATTTTGCACACAGCGTGTCTGTACGTTACACTCGGCTAAATACGACCTTTGTTTTATATTGAATGATGCTGCGTTTGTTCTGTTTTGTATATTAATATGTTGATGTTATTTTCTGTCTGCACTGATATCATTTAATTAAATTTGAATTTAATTTAATTATTATACTTTGCTTCTATCAAAAGTATTACATTAGTGATGAAATAGTGAGAAATTATCTTAAAGTCCATATTAAAATTCAACACTGCATCATCATGTTGCTGTGTAGCTGCTGGATGTGGAAATAAACAGCTGTTAGAGACACATCTGCTCGATAAACTGATGATATATGTGTTAATGTTGTGGTTACAGCTCGTTTCCGCCGAACGCCCAGTGGCGCCAAAGTCAGTGAACGCAACTTCAAGTGAAGTGTGAATATGAGAAACTCTGGTGAAGAGGTGACAGTTAAAGATAATCAAGTAAAGCAGCTCCTCTCTCTTGCAGGAACAAGAGATTAGATCCAGTGGGAGGGTCGACCGTGTTGCGTTAAGCTGCCCGACGAGAGCAGGAAAGTAACCGGAAACAGGGCGACTGATTCTTCCAAATAAAAGCATGGTCATTGTTGCATTCCCGTCTCTTCCAATGATTGAAAATATTGTCAAAACATTTATTTTAGCGTAGACAACCATCCAATAATATACTCAGACATTAGAGCAGTAGATACATGAACGGAAATAGCAGAAAAATATGTAAAATAGAACAATGCAAAAGTAATAAACTATAATAAAATGTTGACACCATTGTTCACTGAGGAGAGATGGAAATGTAAGGAACTGAAACGTTTGGAGCAACTTTAAAAACAAGTACACTTGTGTATTTAAATTTGGCTTTTATCAGTGAATCGAGAAAGAAGAAAAGTTGTTTAATCATAGTTAATGCAAATTTAGATTTAGCCAACTACACGCCAGATTAAACCTATGGGTTTATTTTAAAAGTGTGTCTGAAGAATCGATTAAACATGTATGTATATTTTAAAGTAAATTCTTTGTTTTTTCAGCAGATAACACAACAAGATCCAAAAATCATGCGTTTTATTTAAATATTCAATTATCAAATATACTCTGCAAATAGTGAGTGAATATTTTCACCCATCTCTTCATGAACGTCGTGTATCTCGAGTGAAAGCTCTGGACGTCGTGGTCAGATTACGTCAACGTTCGAAAAAAAAAGGTTTTATTTTGAAACTTCAAGCCGGATGTTCTGTGTTGTGTTCACGGCACATTAACACCGTGTACCACAGACTGGAGAATCCAGCGGAATAAATGTGGCATTCACGGCGCGGAGGGAAAAGCCGGAGGAACGTTCGGCACCGAAGAGTCGGATAAAGTCCCAAAGTCCTAAAAATACACGCAATTCTTGCGTTAATTCTGCGTACGGGTGAAATTATATCGTTATACTGTTGGAAGCTAATACTCGTGGAATAAAAAACTCAACGGAAACTCGATTTTCCTGGATTAACGACACTCGGGACACTTCGCCAGCCCCTCGGAGTCTTCCCACAAACTGCCACCGTGGTCCGGTAACACTCGGGCGGGTGAAAAGTTTCTGGCACACCTGGAAAACAAAAGGTGAGTCCCGTGTGAAATGAGTTTCTTCTTCTTACAGTTGTGGATTGATGGGAAGAAAAAAAAAACGGTCCGTACAAGTGCGTGAACTCGCGTCGGTACAAAGGTCGGAGCTGGTGTGTTTCTCTCCGGTCTGTTTACATGCCAGACTCCGGCCGCCAAACGCCACATTCCCCGGTGCGGAGGGAACTTCTCGCCGAACTCCCTCCACGTCTCTTTCACCTGGAGGTCGTTTATCGTGAAATGTGTCTTGTATTATACCAATAATGACTTTTCTGTGTCTTTGGAAACAAATCTTCAATTCGGCATATTTTAACATCACAAAACGAGACTTTAAATTCAGTAAAATCTCAAGTTAGATTCGGCTCAGTGCTGCTAACCTGCCTGTCGTCACTGTGCTTAATTAAAAACAACACCTCCAGTGACAGAGGTTTGGCAGTGCCTGTACATGACGTTGTCCCGATTTGGAGACAGACTCTGATTTATTCTGGGAAACCTGGAGCCACATCTAATTTGTTTGTTTTATGTGTTTGATCAACATGGGAATATTAAATCAGAAGATTTTCAAATGGAGGCTGGCATGAGAGAAACTGAATATTAAAAAGAAGGAGACATGTCAGATTAAATCAAGACAGATCTTTTTTGCATTATTCAGACTTTTACTCTGGCTTGTAATTAAACAGAGTAAACACACCCAAACAGATTCACAATCAGAGACTCAACAATTGTTAAAGGTGATAAAATACTTCATCATGCCCCCCTCTCACTTTCACTTCAGAGCAATAAATGTCAAGGGATTTTTGTTTGTGAGCAATAAAATGCTTTATTCATTTCCACTTCACTGACACTCGGAGTCCCTGCAGTGTCAAAGTGAAATTTATGAGTATTGTTCCTTTTGTCATGAATGCAGTGAGAATACAGAATGCCTGAGGGAGGTGGAAGAGAAAGGGGGACATGATCGGTGTAAATGGGACTGACAGCTCTGCTTACGCCCTGCGCTCCTCTGTGGCTGCCTGGTTATGTAATGAAACAAGTTGTAACCAGGAAAACAAAGCAGGGAGCAGGAGCAGGGAGCAGGAGCAGGAACAGGGAGCAGGGAGCAGAAGCAGGGAGTAGGGAGCAGGAACAGGGAGCAGGAGCAGGGAGCAGGAGCAGGAACAGGGAGCAGGGAGTAGGAGCAGGAACAGGGAGCAGAAGCAGGGAGTAGGAGCAGGGAGCAGGGACAGGGACAGGAACAGGGAGCAGAAGCAGGGAGTAGGAGCAGGGAGCAGGAGCAGGGAGTAGGAGCAGGGAGCAGGAGCAGGGAGGAGGAGCAGGGACAGGAACAGGGACAGGGACAGGAACAGGGAGCAGGAACAGGGAGCAGGAGCAGGGAGTAGGAGCAGGGAGGAGGAGCAGGGACAGGGACAGGGACAGGGAGCAGGAGCAGGAGCAGGGAGCAGGAGCAGGAACAGGGAGCAGGAGCAGGGAGTAGGAGCAGGGAGCAGGAGCAGGGAGTAGGAGCAGGAACAGGGAGCAGGGAGTAGGAGCAGGGAGTAGGAGCAGGGAGTAGGGAGCAGGGAGTAGGGAGCAGGAACAGGGAGCAGGAGCAGGGAGTAGGAGCAGGAACAGGGAGCAGGAGCAGGGAGCAGGAGCAGGGAGCAGGAGCAGGGAGCAGGAGCAGGAGCAGGGAGCAGGAAGCAGGAACAGGGAGCAGGGAGCAGGAGCAGGGAGTAGGAGCAGGGAGTAGGAACAGGGAGCAGGGAGTAGGAGCAGGGAGCAGGGAGCAGGAGCAGGAAGCAGGAACAGGGAGCAGACCAGTGTCTCTCTCTGGACTCTGTGATCCGGCTCCTCAAAACACTCTTATTGTTTATATGGAAACAGTGTGTGTGAGGCCGCGGCGCTGCAGCCGTGATCATGTTTTCATGCAGAGATCAGGACTGTCAACAGTGATGTCAGTTGTGTGCAGGAAAACTGGAGCAGCAGAGATGAAGCCGTGACACCTCCTTCCTCCTGTGTGGAGGAGCGGAGCCTCTCCACTGGGCTGGAAGAGTTTAAGTAGCTGCTCTGGAGTTGACATGAAGTGTGTGCATGGCCGAAGTGAGCGTGTATTCTATCACAAAGCCCTGAGGGCAGCAGCAGAGCAGGATGGGGCTCGGCCCCGCACGTCAGGTGATTTCATTTCTTCTCCTGCTTTAAAAGTGGGAAATAAGTGGGCGGAGTTTGGCGCAGAGCTCTGGAAGCCCCGGCTCTGTTTACACAGCAGAGACCGACCCGCTGGTGGATCCTTCACCAGCTGTTTGTGTTTGAAGGTCTGCTGAGCTGTAATTAAAGCGTCCTCCAGCTCCAACTCTCCGTCACTGTGGGTTCACAGCCCTGATCTCACCTGTGACAGGTGAGTCCTCTTACTGCAGGGCTGCAGGACACGTTGCTCACCTCCTGATGATCAGTAACATCAGACTAACTACTGTGTTCACAGAGTTAAACTGAGAGTTTCTGATGAACGAATCAGAGCTGAGAACAGAGACCTGACCTTTGACCTGTGATCATTGGTCTGTTAAAGAGTCTCATAACAACATGAACAAACATCAACCTGATCACAGCAGGAACAACCTGGATGGATGGATGGATGGATGGATGACAGATGGATGGATGACGGATGGATGGATGACAGATGGATGGATGATTACATATACATATATAAAACCAATAGTATATATAAGAAGGAAAAGAACAGAGAAACATGAATAAATATTAATATAAAACTTTCTGCTCAGCATCGAGTTACTTTCTGTCATGGATTCATCTGCTGATTCTTTTATTGATGAATCAGCTGGTTCATGAAGCGATGGATGAGTGTGTGGAGCTTCAGTTCTCTGACGTGACGTTACAGTTGATCGATTGATCAAGTGGATGATCAGTGATGAAGATAATTGATCTCAGGGCATGAATGACTCAGGTGTTACGTTTAAGCTGCTTCTGTTGTCGCTGATAGAGAAAGGGGGCGCGCCATAAAGGTGGGAGGTCACAGAGGCCTGAGTCCAGACTGAGCTGTGATAGGTTTGATGAGGATGAGGATGTGGGTGTGATGAAGAACTGGACCGGAGTCTCTCTGGTTTCTCCGCAGACAGGAGAGCTGCTGTGGTTTCCAGTCTGGACAACTGATAAATGAACTGTTCTGTTTTTCTCATTTCTTTTCCCTCTCAGACTCTCAGTCCTGACCACACCACCGCCCCCCCACCTCCTCCTGTCAGGAGCTCTACAAACCTCCACCCCCCCTCCAGCTGACCCTGGAAACAACGTCTCCCACCAAAATAAAAACTGAGAAGAAGAAAAATCTGAGCAGGAAATTAAGCAACAGAAGAGTTTTTCCGTCTCTGAGGATTGTTCACCGCTCGTTTCCTGGCTGTCAGCTGAGCGTCAGAAACAGGAAGCGGGGGGGGGGAGTCTCACCTGAGGCAGGTCCATGTCTCCGGCGCTCAGCATGAGGAGGCTCTGAGGAGATTTTAAATAAAGCTGGTTCAAAACGAAGGAGGCGCGGGAGCATGGGGAAGGAGCAGGACCTGCTGCAGGCGGTGAAGAGCGGAGACCTGCTGTCCACTCAGAAGCTGCTGTCCAAGCTCAAGACCAACAGGAACAGTAAGTGATCCTCACCTGTCCTCTGCTGCTCACCTGTGGTCCTGTTTACACTGTCTTTATTTACACAGAGACTGATTTCAAACACTCTGAACCTGACGCTGAAACTCTGGATGTGACTTTTCCTTTATTCTACTTTAGTCGCCATGTTTGTCTGGACTCATTCCAGTTTCACCAGTTTAACAATTCTGGATTTCTGGACTGGACTTTGGTCAGTTTGGTTTATTGACTGTCTGGTCTGATGTCATTGGTTGTTGCAGCTGTTGTCAGGTAAATTATATGGGATTATTTATTTATTGAAAAGTGTGATGAGATTTAAAGAAACTTCTTCTGTGTTTTATTTGAAGTGTTGATCCATCAGAAGATATAAAAACCATCTCAGTGTAGTTTTACATCTCCTCTCTCAGGCTTCTCTCTGCAGCTCTAGTAACAACAGGTCGGTGAGCCAATCAGAAGAGAGGAGGCTCTGAGCCTCTCTTCTGATTGGCTGACTGTTTTCTGAGTGATCCAATAAAAATACAGCAGATTTCAGGTAAAAACACTCAGAGAAACCAAATCCTGCAAGGTTTGGATGGTGGGTCCAGGTGGGCGGGGCTTGGTGACTGCTTTGTTGTGACATCACAAAGTTCCAGAAGTCCTGACGGCTGGTTTTAAGGCTCAGTTTCTGAATACAGGCTGTGTGCATTTCTCTGTGGACTGAGGCTTTGATACTTTCACAGTATTAATATAGAAGCTAGACCTGATCTATAATCACACTACACATGGACATCTGGTTCCCAACCTGTGGGAAGGTATCACAAGTGGACCGACAAATCATAAGCAAAACAGTACAATTTTGGCGAAACGATGTGATATATATATATATATTTATATAATATTTTTAAATGTTTTAAAATGAAATGATCTGTAAAAACATAAAAACGTTTCTTGTATTCAGCTCTATCACTGTGATACGCCATTGATAGGAGCTTTCATGTTGACACCAGCTGGAACACATTGTATACTTGTTTGCTAGCTCAGTCTGATCAAAATGGCTAGCTGGTTAGCATCAGAAACCCCGCCCCCCGTCAAACAAAGAAGAAAAACTGATCTTCCTCTGCTTTCAGTTCAGTCCTGAATGTTGGATCGTTATTATCTGGCGTCCGTGTTGTTACAGGGTCACGGTGTGCACTGCCAACATTTAGAGATTTTGGAAACGGTCGGGAGCCGCTGCTTTAAACTTTAAACTGTACGAGACCTTTCAGTCGTATAATTGTTGATTTGATTGTGTCAGACGAAGCTTTGACTTGAACTTGCTCAAACAGGCTTTTTGCTGAGTTTTGTCTCCTGCTGCCGCCACACCCACTAAACCTCTCTGTCTAAATGCACCATGATGATGATGATGATGGTGAAACCAGCAGATCTCAGTTCAGATGTAAAGGAAAGAAGCAGCTCTCTGTCCGTTTGCTGCCTCCATGAACATTTAAACCTCCAACAGACTCGTGTGTTTCAGTGGATGAAAGGAGCTGATGATCCTCAGGCTGCGTCCACACCGCTACAACTCTAACACACCTGAAAACACACACCATTCACCTGCACTGAGCGTGTGCGAGCCGGTGTAAACAGCGTTTTAAAATGAAAACGTAGCGGTGTGGACGGAGCCTAAACCTGCTCCCATCAGCTCTGACGAGCAGCTGATGTTCAGAGGTGTCAGTCATATCAGTCATATCAAGCTGATATCCTGTCACCTTGATTTAGCATTAAAGAGTTTTAGGATGAACCTGTTTATAACTGACAGAACGGAGCAGGGAAGGAAGGAAGGAAGGAAAACAAATTGTTTAATTAATACAAAAGACTTTGTCTCTGAGTCACTTTGAGGAAAAGTAGTTTTGTTTTGCTCCTGGTGCAGTTATCTGCATCTTTATGGGACTGTAGGAATTTCCTTATAGAGTGAAAACAAGAGAGAAGTGACTCTGGTGACCAGATTTCATTGTCCTCCTCTACAATGGCTGTTATCTCCAGTTACAGTAGTCTGTGTTTACCACTCCTTCACTCTCCCATTGTCCTGCACACACTGAGTAACTCGTCCACCGGCTCAGGGCAAGAAGCCGGTTACAGGGACGTGCACACATGGATCACACATGCTTGGACAGAACATGGTCAGTCTGTGCGGACCCTCGTGGACCCTCAGACCCGGGACCTCAGTTTATTCTCAGTTCATACTCAGTTTATTTCTATACATCGGTCGTAGTTTCTCACAGTCCAAGGTGAAGTCTGAACACCCAGATATTCAGATATACTCACATCTGAAGCTGGAAGCAGCACACTTCTTAAAACCAGACCAGGTCCAGACGGAGTCTATGTGTGTAACGATTGAAGATGTAGTTGGCGATTGCTGTGGAACATCTGGAAACATCTACAGGCAGGAGAAAGTAAAGCTGCTGAATATTAATGACGTAATATGCTAATTAGCATATTCAAGACATCATGGCATCATATTCAAGCATCATCCTCTGGGGCTGAAACCAGAAGCTGCAGTTCCTCTAACGACCACTAGAGTCTGGCTCCAACAGTGAGTCAGTCCCCATAGACTGCCATGTTAAAATGTCCAACTTTACAGCAGAAATAAACATGTTTACAGCCTGGTACAAAAACTGTTTTGGTCTCTAGAGCTGATTTCCTCCTTCATGACACCTGTTTATATAACTCACCTGTTTACATCTTATTAAGGACTAAAGAAGTCACTAGTTGAACGCTGCGGGCAAATCTAGTTTAAGGGTCGAAAAGTCGTAGCGAATCCAGCGACAAAGGCGCTAAGTTAGAAACACGGCCTGTAAACCCCCCATGATGATGACACAGTTGTGGTGCAGCCAAACACGGAGTTGGTCTGTTTGGATTCGAAGGATCTAAAAACTAAATGTGAGGTGGATTTTAGAGTCGACAAAGTCAATCAGAGGCTGCAGTCATTGGTTTGTACCAGTCACATGATGGTGCGCTGTAATCTTATTTCAGACTATGTGTATTATTTAAAAACGTGGTTTTGAATTTGCTCTTTCTGTTTATATTTAGAAAAATAATAAAATAATGTAAAAGAAATGAAACCAACAAAAATCATTAACATCCGGTCTGTTGGTGTTAATGAGTCTGATACTGTGTTCATACAGGCCAATGAGACTCTCTCTCTCTCTCTCTCTCTCTCTCTCTCTCTCTCTCTCTCTCTGTCTCTCTCTCTCTCTCTCTCTCTGTCTTCTCTGCTGTCTCTCTCTTTCTCCTGTCATCTCTCTTCTCTCTCTCTCGCTCTATGTCTCTCTCTCTTCTCTTCATCCTCGTCTCTCTCTCCTTCTCTGTCTCTCTCTCTCTCTCTGTCTCTCTCTCTCTCTCTCTCTCTCTCTCTCTCTCTCTGTCTCTCTCTCTCTCTTCTTCTCTCTTCTCTCCTCTGTCTCTCTCTCTCTGATCTCTCTCTCTCTCTCCTCTGTCTCTCTGTCTCTCTCTCTTGTCTCTCCCTCTCTCTCTGTCTCTCTCTCTTCCTCTCGTCTCCTCTCTCTCCCTCTCTCTGTCTCTGTCTCTCTCTCTCTCTCTCTTCTCTGTCTCTTGTCTTCTCTCCTCTGTCTCTCCTTCTCCTCTGTCTCTCTCTCTCCTCTCTCTTCTGTTCCTCTGTCTCTCTCTCTCTCTCTCTATGACTGATGCTGAGGCCTCTCGGCCGCCTCTCTGCTGACAGTCGGTTTTGTTTGCTGTTTGAGTGACCAAGAAAAGGGGCGGGCTGAGGCCCCCGGGGGCCGGCGGGAGGTCAGCCTTTATCAGGCAGATAACCTCTCACCTGTCACGTGACCGTCCACACGGCCGGCGTCCAGCGTCCTCTCTGACCTCTGACCTCTGAGGATAAATGAAGGAGTGTCAGGAGGTGAAGAGTTTGAGGTCGGGTCAGCGGACGACGTGTCTCTGATCCGTCCAGACGTTCTCTGCCTCATGGACGATGGGAAAGATAATGACTTGAGTTCACATCACTGAGACAGGGCTTGAATCTAGTGTGCGTCAACTCCAAAGGCTCAGGAAGCCCCGCCCCCCTCGCTGTGCGACGTAGGGCCGTTTTTTGTTCAGCTCTGACGCAGCGGCGCGACGATCTGAAGACGCTGTAGCTCCAGTCCGCCGCCTCCTCGTGTTCCACTCCACAGCTTCTCTACAGCTCAGCTTCACTAAGCTGCTGAGTCTGAACCACTTCATCTCCACGTCAGATGTCAACGTGAACCCTGGTTATGATAATAACCTCCACCGTGACGTGGGCGCGGCGCCGGCGTCATGTCAGCGGCAGGTGCGGAGGAGGCCGCAGACCCGGTGGACGTCTCCTCAGACAGACAGTGCGTCTCCCTGAGGGACTTCCTGCAGTCTGTCACACTACACCCACCCATCGTTCTCCACCTCCACACGCCCGATCCATCACCTCCACGTTACACCACAGCTTTGTGAACCGGCCTATCACACGGTCGGGATCTCGGGACCAGGGGAAACACATCGACTCAGTTTCTGACTTTTGGAAACTCATTAGTAAAATATTCTTTCCTGTGATTTTTGCTTCACATCTGATGCTCCAGTATCTGCCCCACACCCCAACTGCTATCACCCCAGTCACAAGGAGCCCCCCAGATGCCCCCCCCCCCGCCAGGATTAAAAGGAATTATAGTGCTGGGGAGGGAAGGGTGGTGAAGGGGGGGGGGCAGCTCTTTGTTTATCAGATGCTGTGGAATCTCATTCTCATGGCCTCTGCATCTACAGTCAGCACACTGTGACTGAGCCGCTCTATTGAGTTAGAATTCACCTAATGTGATAACCTGACTTCGCTTCTGAGAAACGCCGACACACGTCCACTAACACGAGGTGAGGGCTTCGTCTCATTGGTCCACAGCTCTCGCACTACTTCTCCAGGAAGTGTCCTTTTCACACAGTTTCTGCGAATCCTTAAAAAGTCTAGAATTTGATTTACGAAATCTACAGGCCAGAAAAATGTTCTGCCGCTTTTTTTCTGTTTA